ACACACACACACACACACACACACACACACACACACACACACACACACACACACACACACACACACACACACACACACACACATACATGCACACCCGCAACCCCCCCCCCCCATCCCCAGGGCGCATCTGGACCATGGTGACGTCCAGCTTCAGCCACGCATCCATGAGCCACTTCCTCATCAACATGTTTGTCTTCTTCTCCTTCGGCATGCCAGTGAGTGGCCGCTTGTGTTTATGTGTCGGACAGGCTTGAGTGTGTGTCCTTTGTTCAACAGCCATTGCCACGCGTCCACTGCATTCTTTCTGCTCTCCTGAAGCAAGCCGCACTTGCTGAATACACTCTCACACTCACTCACTCACACACTCACACTCACACACGTGCGCACACAAACCACCTTCAGGTTGCTGCTGTCATGGGCCAACTGCCGTTTCTGCGGCTGTACCTGGCGGCGGCCGTGTCGACTGCCCTCGCTCATATCGGCTACTACACAATCCTCCTGCCTCGCCTCCACCGTGCGTTGTAATCATGTGTGCCGAACGTGATGTGATGCGTGCAACACGAGTGGCGTGCGTACAGCAACGCACCCGTGTTTGCGTGCGTGCGTGCGTGCATCTCTCGTTTTGCATCACCACCTCCGTAGCATGTACAATGCCTGATGCACGTGCAGACTGTTTTGCAGTCGCAAACACATACATATGTCTAAGAATCGTCTCACCCCTCTCTCCACCTCCCCTCTTCCTTCTCTCTACCTCTCCTCCTTTCACACCTGTCGCCGCACGCACACGTGTACAGCCCATGCGAACTTGACGGATCCTGGCAGCATCGGCGCGTCTGGTTGCGTCATGGCGGTGATGACGTATTTTGCTGCGCGCGCCCCACGTGCCACCGTCCTCCTCCTCATCATTCCCGTCCCGGCCTGGCTCGCGGTGCGGCTGCTGTTTGTGCTGTTGTCTGTCTGTCTTTCTGTGTGTGTGTGTGTTCTTGTGTGTGTCTGTCTGTGTCTGTGTGTGTGTATGTGTGTGTGTGCGTCGAGTGCTCCACTCTTCTTGGTTCAATTCACTCTTTTCGTCTCTTCTCCTCTTCCTCTCTCTTTGTTCACGTGCACTGCCTACGAATGCACACACACACACACATGCACACACACCCCCCCCCGTGTCAGGTGTCGCTGTTCATCACTGCTGATCTGTTTGGAGCGTTCAAGGGCGGAGGATCAGGCGTCCGCGGCGGGCCACGCATCGACAACGCCGTACGGCCCCACCGCCCGCGCATGCATGCATGAAAGAGGGGTTGAGGGGGTTGAGATGCCGTGATTCATTGTGCTGAGTGATTGACTGTAATTCTGTGTCCAAGGGAGGGCAGTTCATGGTCACATTCACTTATCACCACCACTCACACCTCTACCACACCACTACCTCTACCACACCACCACCACCCACCACCATCACCAGGGCCATCTGGGCGGTGCAGCCATGGGTTTGATCTGGCACCTGGCCACCCGAGGACGAAGCGGTGGCGGAAGTGGCGGTTATGGTGGTCGACAGGGCGTGTCACGTGCGGCGGCTGCGATGCGTCTCGCACGCCAACAGCGACAGCGACCACCGCAGCCACAACCACCTGGCCCTGGACGGTACCGCTGGCGACCGCAGCCACCTCAGGAGCCAGGCAGACGCACATGGGGCAGGCGGTTGTACACGACCCTCGTCCAATCACACGCACAGCACACGCCGTTGGTACCGCCGCGTGTAGCGCATCCAGCACACATGCGGCGACACCAACAACAACAACAACAACAACAACATCAACAACAACAACAACAACAACAACAACAACAACAACAACAACAACAACAACAACAACAACAACAACAACAACAACAGCAGCAGCAGCAGCAGCAACACAGCAGGCTGCATGTACCAACACACTCCATGATGGTGTGAGGATCCATGCAGTCACAGACAAGAAGAAGGAAGGAGCACTCAACTCACCACTCCCCCACCCGCGTCTGCAACGAACCAGACAGCCATCGTCGTCTGTTCAAAACGCCTCGCTCGTTCTTCTTGTTCTTCTTGTTCTTCTTGTGTTTCCCTGACCACAACAAACAGCCATGTCAGGTTTTCGCATTTCGTTATCCGCGCATTAAATCCAACGCATGTTTCCAACTTTTCTCTGCATTATGTATGATTTGATGCTTGTTTATGAATTTCAATCGGTGCACCGTTGCTCCGACATTCCTTTCCAACACAGTTCACAACCCAGTTCGCTGACAACCAATCATCGTTGCTGACGCCTGCCCGATACACCAACGCGAACACGCATACGCGGCAACCGAAGGTGGGTGCGAGCAAAAACCGAGTTTGAGGCATCGCCAACACCTTCCACCCATCCAAGAAGGAAGAGGAAGGAGCACCTGTGCTTGTTGCGGAGAACCGGCCATCGCAAGCAATCGAACCGAGCAAACGCCAACAAGCAAAGCAAACATTTCTCATCTCCCATCTCCCCTCACCACACAACGACATTGACCCAATACAGCCAACGAAACAACGCCTGAAGGCAACAACCACACACACGCACACACACACACACGCACACTCACTCGCTCAAGCACACACTCAAGCACACACACACACATCGTCGCTTCACCCTGCAACAGCACTCAGACAACAACACTCGCAGCTGTTGTCGTCTGGTTTCACCGCCATGAACTCGGGTACGACAATGCAAAGCCACACGCGTGTGACATACGTGTGCATGCATTTGCTGGAACCGTGTTTGCACCTCGCTCCCACGCCGTCACACAGAGTGTGTTCTTTCTTACCTCTGCAATGTCGACTATTCTTGCAGACACGAGCACGCCGCCTCGTAGGCGTCGGTCGTTCTCCCCAAAGTTCAGCAGCATCTTCCGCAAGTCCCGCCGAAGTGAGTTGCCTGCATGCAGCGTTGGACGTGTGTGTGTGTGTCTGTCTGTGTGTGCGCGTATTCTCGTATTTGCATGTGTATGTGTGCACATGACACTTGTCTATCTCAACATGGCATCGTTCTCTAAGTTGCAGTCCTTCACCTTTCAAGCATTGCACAACTTCTTCCACTCACGCAACACCCAATGATGTCAACCAATCACAATGGCAGGCTCGACTGCGCCCGAAAGCCCGGCCGAACCGCTGAACCAGCCCTCTGCGCGTGGGGCCAGCAAGGACAAGAGCAGCGAGAAGCTTGGTGCCACAGGAAGCCGCCTGTCCATCGTCTCAGAGGCAGAGGAGGACGTGGATGACTTTGATGTGCGAAGCATCGTCGTCACGCCATCGGACACTGCGCCCATTGCGTGCGTGTCCGCGCCATGTCCCCGCGCAGCTCTCCGCTCGTTCCGCCGGCCGCTCTTCGGCCTCTGTGCCGTCCGCGTTGAGAGCTCAACAACAGCAGCAACGTCGATGCCTATCCAGAGGAGGACGTGGATGACTTTGATGTGCGAAGCATCGTCGTCACGCCATCGGACACTGCGCCCATTGCGTGCGTGTCCGCGCCAATGTCCCCGCGCAGCTCTCCGCTCGTTCGCCGCCGCTCTTCGGCCTCTGGTGCCGTCCGCGTTGAGAGCTCAACAACAGCAGCAACAATGGCTGGTGCGACGGGAACAGCGCAGGGGACAAGAGTGTCTTCAGGGCGAAGCAGCAACGATTCCGTTGTGGTTGAAGGCATTGACCCGTCCAGCGAAGGCACGTCGAGCGACGCAGAGTGTCTGCAGGCAACGCACGCGGGCCTGGATCGCAACTCGTCCCAGGAGTCAAGCTCGGAGGATAACTTGGGCACGCGCAACCTGGGTGATGGATTCACCTTCAACCGCCACTCCACGCGCATGCAATCCCTTGTCCACCACCGCGAAGGGTGAGTCACCCTTGTCTATCTCTCTGTTTGTGCTTGTATGGGTTTGCATGTGTTTGTGTTTGCATGTGTTTGTATGTGTGCGTGTGTGTGTGTGTGTGTGTGTGTGTTTGTATGTGTGTGTGTGTGTGTGTGTGTGCAAGTATGGGGGTTAAATGGCTGATTGCAGCAACCACCAGCAGTTGCACCACCAACAGTAGCAGCAACAGCTGTCGCTCGGATGCTTACCCTAATGGGCGATTTGGCTTGCCTGCAGGCACACGGGCGATCGCGGCACCTTCAATGCATCACGATCCGTCCGGCACCGCCGACGCAAGTCCCGCAACATCGAAGACACCCTGGTCCGTTGCACTGCACGTGTTGCCATGTACTGATGTATCCATGAGTTGTGTGTGCGTGTGCGTGTGCGTGTGTGTACTTATGTGCGAATGCGTGCGTGTGTGTACTTATGTGCGCATGTGTGTGTCTGACATGACAAAGTTTCTGATGTGTTTCAGCAACACAACGATTGCTTGAACAGCGCACGAGTGTTGTTCACCACTTCTCACACAACAACTTCTTGCGGGTTCATGCTGGCAACAACAGGGATCAGTGGACATGATGAAGATGATTGCAGCAAAGTAAGCATGTGTGCTTGCATTCCACTACAGCGGTGATCTTGCCTTTCTGACCCTTCAACAACCCCCACAGCGCGCGCGCGCGTGTGTGTGTGTGTGTGCCTGTGTGTGTGTGTGCCTGTGTGTGTTTGTGTCTCACTCACCCGCCATGATGTTCACCCCCACCTGCCACCCTATTCTCGTGTTTGTCTCCGCTGACAGCAACAACAAGCGCCGCTGCCTCAAGTTCCGCGCCGCGCTCAGCCGTTCCATTCGCAGCCACACCCAGGAGAAGGGTGAGAGCAAACGCATGCGTGTGTGTCTGCGTGCGTGTGGGGGTGTGCGCGTGTGTGTTTCCGGGAAATTACGCTCTTCTTTCGAATGACATAAGCGCACGCTGCGTTCACGTGCACTCTCACGTGCACTCACTCGTCCTCTTGTGCCGCTGCCACAGAGTTCTTTGAGCTTGAGGACGTGCAGGCACTCATGACCGAGTTGGAAGTGAACAAGGACCTGATTGGCCCAATCTCGGAGGAAATTCGTGCGTGCAACTGGATCACTGATATGGATGGCGATGCAAGCAAGCAGAAGGCCAACATTGCACCTTGCACATGCTTTCCACCTCTCTCACACCCCACACATACCCACACATACCGGCACATAACCGCACATGCCCGCAATTACCCACTCACGTGCATGCACGCACACACAACTACCCACCCGCGCTCTCTCTTTCACAGTGCGTGACGCTGGCAAGGATGGACGGATCCATGCCCTCGAGCTTGCGTCATCGCTCATGGAAAGGGAGGACCGTATCCTAGGCCTGGGCAAAATGGACGAGCCTGCCAACCCCATCGAAAGCCGCTCCGGAAGCCTGGCTGGGTGCGTGCATTCGTGGCGCGCGCGCGTGTGTATGTCGTGCGTGCGTGTGTGTGTGTGTGTGTGTCGTGCATGTGTGTGTGCGTGTATGTGTGTGCGTGTATGTGTGTGTGTCGTGCGTGTGCGTGTGTGTCGTGCGTGTGTCGTGCATGTATGTGGGTGTGCTTTTGTACATGCGTACACCCATGCATGCATTGTATGCGTGATGAATGCTCACTTCGCTTCATTCTTGCTCTGCGCCTTGTGACTTCATTCTCTCAATCACTCACACACCCTGTTCTGTGGACCTTGCGTGTGAATGTTTCGTGTTCCGGTTGCCTGCAGGCTCTTCAGCCCCGAATTGGCGGAGGCGCGACGCCGGTTGAAGAATGCACAGGACACCATGGCTCAGATGCAAACAAAGCATACCGAAGAGGTGCAATGTTGGGGTCTGTGTGTGTGTGTGTGTGTGTGTGTGTGCGTGCGTGTGCGTGCGAACTCTCACACTGTGTGTATGCGGGTTGATTTGGACCGCGGCCAATGCTTGCTTGTAGCCCTGTGCACGCGACATCCTGGTGTTTATGCTCACGTACATTATCACAACTCCTCCACACCCTTCGATTCGTATTGCTCAGGTCATGGCCCTTCAAGCGAGGATTGCGGCGCTGGAGAAACAAGACGGTATTTTGGATGAAAGCGGCATGAAGACTGTGGAAATGAAGGATGCACCACGACACAATTACGTCACAAGCACACATGTGCACAGGCACACAGTTGCACAGGCACACATTTGCACAAGCACACATTTGCACAAACCACAACAAATCGTAACTCGTCTGCACAAACACTCATCAAATACACGCACACACACGCCCCCCCCCCACGCCTCACCATCCTGCACCATTGACATGAACGTATGTGCGTGTGCATGTACGTGTGTACACCCTCAGCTGCCGGCCCGCGTCGCCGCCACGTTGCTCCCCGCCGCACGTGCGTTTCATTGCGCGACATGCTCCGTGATGCTTGCAAACTCGTGTTTGTATTGTACCACACGCGTGCACGAGTCTTGAGGTGCCCATGTCAACACACACACACACACATACACACATACACGGGAGCTCACATGCAATGGTCTGCCCGCATTCGCCTCTGTTTCTCTTTCCATCCACACGTGTGCAGGAGCGTGACCTCTGTTGAATCTGATCGCGCCAGTCGCCCATCACCCGCAGCCTCACAGCCACGCAAAGGTGAGATGACACACGAAACCGTGCGAGTGACAAAACACTGTGACGCTCTGGTGGTGTTGTTCATGCGCCATTATGTTCAGCCAAATCCCCTCGCTCACACCACACACATACGCACACTCATGCACATACACACACGTACGCGCACACATACACACATGCAGCACTGCGCGATACAGACACGCAGACGTCGACGCAGACGTCGACAAGCAATCTGCTGGCCACACAGACCGAAAGCATCAAGACAGAAAGCGTGTCAACGTCAACAATGTTGTTGCAAGTGATGACGCGACACGCCCCTGTTGTCAGCAGGATGGCGCTGAGCAAACGACAACAGCAGCAACGGCACAGGAAGAGACACAAGAGGATGCAACAGATCAGTCTTATGATGAGAATGACCAGTCCATCGAAGGACAGGTGGACGCCGTCGCCACTCTTCCGCCGAACCTCGTCGCCTCTCTCAAGGACGATCGCGTCCGTCAGCTCGAGGTGTGAACACGCGTGCGCGCACTCGCATTTGGTTTTGAGAACGTGTGTGTGTGTGTGTGTGTGTGTGTGTGTGTGTGTGTGTGTGTAGTGTGTGTGTGTGCATGTCCGCGCACATGTGCTTGTCTACGTCAACAGAAATTCATGATTGTGCGTCCTCTCTCAGGCTGAGTGCTCTTCGCTACTGTGGTTGCATTTCGCTTGCGTTCGCCCAAGCTGTGTGTGTGTGTCTGTGTGTGTGTGTGTGTGTGTGTGTGTTACAGCACCCACTCACTCTCGAATGTCTCTCTCTCTGCTTGGATGCTTGCAGGCACAACTTCAGCTTCTGCGCCGCGCGTTTGAAATGGAGGCGCTGAGCGAGGACGGTCTGTCTGCAGGTGTGTGTGCGTGTGCATGCTGCTTTGCTTGTGTATGCCTGGCAGCTGTTGTGCACATTGGTGTCCAAATGGTGCTTTCAAATTCACTCACGACTGTTTTATACATTCGCGCACGCTCTCGTTGACAGTACTTCCATCCGACCTCCAGCAACTCAAGGAGAAGAGTGCGTTGTTGTTGCTTGCACGCATGCATGGCACGCGCATCATGTTTCCTGTGTGTGCACAACGACACCGAACCCCATACGCACACATACACTCACACACGTACACCATACACGCACACCATACACGCACACCATACGCACAAAACCACAACACACACACACACACATGCAGGCGCCAAACTGCAGGAGCTGCAAGTCACCGTCAATGCCCTCCAAGCACGAAACCGCTCCCTGGAGGTGTGGCGTAACGTTGACCCCGCGCTGCTGGCCACTGCATTGCTGCTTTTTCGAAGAATTTGGTTCATTTGTGCATGCACATGAACACACACACACACACACACACACACACACACACACACACATACACAATCTCTTTCACCCGCCCCGGCCCCCATTCACACACGCACACATAACGCATGCAATGCGGCACCACAACAGCAAGCTCTGGCAAACCAGGACAAAGTGTACCGCGCACACGTGTCTGTGCTGCAGGCAACACAGGAGCCAAACGCGGACATTGAACCCCTCTTGCGTCAAGTGCACAAGCAGATTTCACTTCAGCGCCAGCTTGTGGACCAGCTTCTGAGTGATCTCGAAGCCAGGTGGGCACCACAGCCGTTGCATTGAACGTGCCGTTGTGCAGTGACGGCTTATGAACGCACGCATGTGTTACATTGCTTTTCTCGCACGGCATTCCACTTGCTGTTTCAATCCTACTCACAGTTCCATGCTGCTCTTCTCAAACACGCACATACACACAACTGGCACGCACACGCATACACACACACACACACGCATGCACACATATACACGCATACACGCATACGCACGTGCACGCACACACGTATTCAGCAAAACGGAGCTCGCATCACACATCAGCGACAACACCGATCTCATTGTTGAGCGTGATGAGGTGCGTCGTACGCTGTTCGTCTGTTTGCTTGTTGTGTGGATGGTGTGACTGACAATGTGCATGCGTGCATGGTTCGCACACAGCAGCAAAACACCCCCACTCCACAGCGAATACAACCCTCACCAGCACCACCACCACCCTCATCGCTGTTACCACCTTCACCACGACGCTCAACATCACCAAACCACTCCAGCTGTACCGGCGACTGCAGAGTGCCGAGTCGCGGCGTCCAAACGCATCCCGTCTTCAGCGGAGGTGAGATGAGGCAACGGCAAGTGGTGATGCTTCAAGACATGGGGATGTGTGTGCATGGGTGTGGGTGTGGGTGTGGGTGTGGGTGTGGGTGTGGGTGTGGGTGTGGGTGTGGGTGTGTGTGGGTGGGTGTGGGTGTGTGTGGGTGTGGGTGTGGGTGTGTACATAGGGTCAGTCATGCTGATGGGGCCAGGTTGAACATGGATACAACAGCATGAAGACATCACAGTCACTGCTTGTTTCCCTGCAACCCCTTCGTGATCATGCTGGTTCCTTCTTCTCACGCCAAACGCCATCACTTCGTGCGCTCGCGTCTCCCCTGTCTTGCCTGTCTGCTTCCACTCCATCAGATACCAGGCGCTTGTTGCATCATACGATCAGAGCCTCACGGACATCAGCAACCACTACATCCAGACCCTGAATACCCTTGCCGAGGTGAGCAACGTGTCATCTGCGTTGTTGGTGTCAACTTCATTATGGCGACTGTGCCTCCACACTTGCCGTGACATCTTAACGTGACATCGCATCGTCAAATACACACACTCTCACTCACACACACGCACACACACACTCTCACGCTCACACTCACACTCACACTCACCCCCACACGCCTTCCCCTGCAGGCAACGTCGCTGGAACATGTGCGTTCTGCAACAACGGACATCAAGTCCACCCTGCAGCAGCATCTGCAGGAGTTGCGCAACACGCTGGACGAAGAAACCAAGGTGGCACAGCAATTTGCACGCGCCATGACCTTGGATGACGACAACAACGACGACGACGATGACGACGACGACGAATACGACGATGACAACGTGCAACACAACGACAGCATTGGCTCGGTCACGGCTGATCAGACGGCCACCCGCACCCACGCGGGTACGAGCACCCATCACCGTGCGAGTGCCACGAGTAGCGCCAACGCAACAGACGGTGGAAGTCAGCAGCAAACGCTTTCACGCCAAGACACTGTCAACAGCAACAACAACAACAACAACAACAACAACAACAACGCCAGTGCCACAGACCGCACTGGTGGGTCTGCTTCTGCTGGCACCAGCAAGGCCACGCGCAACGTTCGCGGTGCCATGCGACTGTTGGATGAGTCTGACGCAATTCCGGACACGGACGGCGGATTCAAGGACTCGCTGTCCATCCACACGCCTTCATCACGTGCGTCCCAGACACTCAATGACAGTATGGACGCCAACTTTTCGCGCATGTCATGGGATATGACAGGCACGTCGCTGCATGCCGACGACATGGCGTGCGAAGCGAACATCCCCACCACCATCGATGAGGAAGCCGAGGGCGGCGCAGTGCAAGCTACCACCATGCAACTGCGGCAAGGGTATCCACCTCACACCCACAACCTCAACCACTACACCGGCGGTGGTGATGGTGATGGTGACGGTGACGATGATGGTGGTGAGCTCGACGACCACAACGATGTCGGTGGCCTGAACGTGAGCGGACGGTTTGACGGTGACGGTTATGGGGATGAAGAGCGGGAGGTGCGCGATTTCCAGCGCATTGCTCTGTGGGCACAGCACGTGCATGACATGCACACGAACGAGAGCAAGAGCAGCGCTGATATTGGTGACATAGGTGACAACAGCACTGTAGCAGCGGCAACAGCAGATGCTGTTGGTGAAGTAACACCCGACCAAAGCAGCAGTGCTGGGCAAGACACCGAGCCTGGCCAAGGGAAGAATGCCTCATCATCCAACCTCAGTGCCAGCAGCGAAATTGTGCTGCCTGCGGGCAAATCAAGCAGCGGTGTCCGCACCCCACGCATCAGTGTCACGGAGGAAGCCGCACCAGCTTCACTGCAGGGGAGCAAGGAAGGGACACCCGAGCTCAAGCCAGTCACGGAAGCAAGCGAGACTGACGTTGACGCAGTCACTGCAGGTGCAACAGCTGCAGCAACCACAGCTACTGCTGACACGAAAGCACAGACATCAACAGCACTCCCCAATCGCACGTCGAATGGTTCGATTGTTGCGCCGCCACCAACGACAGCTGCCGGAAAGCCGCGCCTGTTTGCGTCCACGTCATCCAAAGAGGCGGGTACAGACACACAGGCGACACACACGCAGCAGCAGCCGTTGAAGACGGTGAGCGAGGACGAATCAGCCGCACCAGCAACACGTGTTGAGAGCAAGAAACAGCACGAACAGCACGAACAGCACGAGCAGGAACAACAAAAAGAGCAGCAAAAGCAGCAGCAGCAGGAAGCAAAGGAGCAAGAACAGAAGACAGGCAATGGTGAATCACAGGTGCTCGCCTCTGCAATGCAGCAGGCACAAGGCGCGGTGGCACAGGCTGCCAACACTGGAGCCATGCAGACCACCACAGATGCACAACAACCTCAAAACCAGCCACAACAACAACATCAACAGCATCAGCAACAACACTCTGCGACTGCAGCCGACACGACAAACACTGGGCTGTTGACGCGCGCTCCAATGTCACCTGGTCCCCGGGCACGCGCGCCCACGTCGCCATCCAGCCCCTCCACGTGGCGACGGTCCTCCTTCCGGCTCGAAGTCGATCTGGACAGGTTTGAACGCGACGGGCTCGAAGCTGCAGTGGAGGTGATTGAAACACCAAGCAGTCCCGTCAAGCATGGGTTCTTTGGAGGTGCGACCACACCCACGAGCACCACATCTGACGAATCCAAGCGCGTTACGCAACGTGATGTGAAGGCCACGCCCCTTGACATGTTGCATCGCCAGCATCAACTCGATGACAATGATGCCGCTGCCAAGCGCTCGACCGCTGACAGCATCCAGTTCAGCACCACCGCCTCTGCTCACGGTAACGGCAGTGGCACCGACAACGACACGGGCAAGGTGAGCGGTGGTGGAATGACAGACACCACAGCAGCAACCTTTGGTGCACATGTGACCAACGACCAGGCGAAGGACGTCGAACCGGTCGAACGCGTCCTCCAGCAAGCAAAGGTGCGCAAATGTGTGTGTGTGCGTGTGTGTGTGTGTGTGTGTGTGTGTGTGGTTGAAACAGAGGTGTTGCTTGAGCTCGTTCTGTTCCACCTTCTCTGTCAACACCACCGGCTTTGCATGACCTTCTTTGTGTCCGTGTCATTCGCCGACGTCTTGGCTTCCTCACCTCCCTCAACTTTACTCATCACTATCACCACCACTACCCACCCATGTGCAGGCGCGTGTGAACCGGTATGCGAGCATGCGCAGCAAGCGGAGTGTGCGAGCGCGCCAGCCAAGTCGCGGCAAGTTCATGCGCCAGAGCGTGCGGTCTCGCAGCAACACGGTGTCGGCGTCGTCACAGCAGGGCAACCGGCCCCTCTCCTTCTACGACAACATGCCCGTCAGCGCGTTTGTGGCCATTGGTGCGACCACCACAGCACACGCGGGGACCATGACAACAAGCCAGGGCCAGGGTCAAGTCCAGAGTCACGGTCAGGGTGAGCCACGTGCACGTGTGCAGTCCACAAGCAGCGGCACAGGCGGCGCACGCAAGATTGCAATTGTGTGATTGGACGACTGCAGAAGAAGGTGGAGGTGGTGTGTGGTGTGGGATGTGAGGGGGGCAGGGAGATGGATCGAAGGGTTGGAGAAGGGTGGGGTTAAGTTGGCCGTTGTCGTGGTGCTGGTGGTGGTGCTGGTGATGGTGCTGGTGGCAGGCAGAAAGGAAGGAAAGGCGGGGATGGCACGTGCACGTTGCTTTCTGTGAGTGAAATAAGGGAACATGTGCGCAACGAGTGTCACAGTTGTTGATTGCGTAGCGGTAGCTCAAGAGTGGTTGCTCGGTCGTGATTTTTGATTCTTGTGTGTTGCTTTCTTTGATGTCACAGAACGTCTGCAACCTCTCTCCTCCCATAGCAGTTGCAGTGAAAATGGGTATGCGGTTGAACTCGTGTGTGTGTGCATGTGTTTGTCGTTGATGGTTACTACTACCGGGTTGATGCAACCGATGTGCATGAACCAGTGAACGAAGAGCACATGAACGAACGAACAAACAAGCGACCGAAACAAGTCTGCATGAAAGCAGACGCCAAACGAATTCAAGCAAGCAAAGCCATGAGCACAGCTGCCCTCATCAAACAAAGCTGGAACTGGATGTGTCGTGGACACGAATGTGATCATGATGGTGGTGATGGCGAAACGGGGTGATTGGAGACACAGAACACATGGCAAAAAGGAAGCAGAAAACATCACAAGGGAACAAGGGTTCGGAAGAGGGTCAGGCAAGACTCCTCAGCAAGCTGGTTGTCCATTCATACACTTGACTGTTACCCGGGTAGCTCTTCTTGGCCTGCCTGGCGAGAAGAGAAACGTTTTCGGAACGAAGATATCCCCGCAAGTCAGGGTGAAGGGCGAGATGTGCGAGCACACCACACCCATTCTTTTGCACACCGCCGTCGTTGGTGTGCGTCTTCATCGCCGCGACCACAGCATCAATCCCACCCTTTGACGCAATCGCCACCTTGTTGTCATCATTGTTGCATGCTATGTTGCACAACGCAGCAAACCCATTCTGTTGCACACCGGCGTTGTTGGTATGACTCTTCATCGCCGCGATCACAGCATCAATCCCGCCCTTCGACGCTGTCGCCACCTTGTTGTCGTCATCGTTCACTGCCAGGTTGTGCAGCGCACCACACCCCTGGTGTTGTACCTTGCTGTTGTCGATGTGGTTCTTCATGGCTGCAATCACAGCATCAATCCCGCCCTTCAACGCAATCGCACGTTTGTTGTCACGCCTATAGCATGCCAGGTTTTGCAGCGCACCACACCCCTTGTGTTGTACCCCCTCGTTGTTGGTGTGTATCTTCATGGCTGAAACCACAGCATCAATCCCGCCCTTCAATGCAATCGCCACTCTGTAGTTGTTGTATGCCAGTTTCCACAGCGCACCACACCCTTGCACTTGCACACCACTGTTGCTGCTGTGCATCTTCATCGCCGCAATCACAACATCAATCCCGCCCTTTGACGCAATCGATACCACGTTGTCGTCGTTCTCTGCCAGGTTCCATAACGCAGCACACCCTTTCTCTTGCACATCGCCGTTGCTGCTATGCATCTTCATCGCCTTGATGATTGCGTCGATGGCGCCGGATGCAGCCGCCTCCACACGCTTTGAGCCATTGTCCCTTGCTTGGTCTTCCAGTGCCTTGCAGGCAAAACGTTGCACGTCAGCAGAGGCGGGAAACGCCTGCATCAACTGCACAATCTCAGCTGCGTGCATGCTGATGCCGTTATTCTGCAGCTTCCGCACGGCGTCCTCAGCACCACCGCCACTGACTGCCCGCACGCCATGCACTTGCGAGGAGGAAGAGGAAGAAGGGGAAGAAATGTCAAGCGAAGTTGAAGAAGCTGGGCCACCTGCTTCTTGCTGCTGTGGTTGCTGTGGTTGCTGTGGTTGCTGCTTCACCGATGCACCGACGCCGGTCACGTCCTTGAGCTTGGCGATGATGGCGTCCACGAGCTCGTCTGGTGGCTGAGAACGCTCGGCGCCCTGTGGCCGCCATGGGTGGTCGGCGATGGTGGATGGGAACCAGAAGCGCGTCTTGGCGTGCTTGAAGCGGTCACACATCTTCACCAGGAAGAACGGCTTCTCCTCATCCATGATGAACTCGAGCTCCTTGCACGAGCTGAACTTGCTGCCCAACTTCTCGCCGTACGTGTGCGTGCCCATGATCACCACCAGCTCGCACTCGTCGATGGCCTCGATCACGGCGTCGGCGATGCTGTCGCCAGCAGCAACGGAGCACAGGAACGTGGGCACGCCCCGCTCGTCCAACGCCTTCTTCAGGGCTTCGCTCTCCTCCATGGCCTCGCTGAAGCGCAGCGAGATGAACACCCGGTGTGGTGGCATGGTTTGCTTCTTGGTGCTCGTTCGTTTGGTGGTTGTGGGTCGCTGCTGGGCTTGTCTCGCTGTCTCGCTGTCTCGCTGTCTCGCTGATACAAGCTTGTCTGCTTGTTGATCCAGAACAAAAAATAATGGCCCTACAAAAGGGTCTGTAACAAGGGGCGCGTGTGATGGCTGTGTAAATGCACGGAATGACGCATTTCCATGTCGACTGAAGTCAGTTGTTTGCGTGCGTGTGTTTTGGACCTGTTTATGGGTCGTAGTCGCGAAGCACTGAAATGAAGCAAATCAACGATCGACTGATCAATACGATGAGGCTGAGGTTGAGGGCGCCACTGTTGTTGCTGGCACCGCTTTGCCTCTTGCTTGGCGTCCACATCTTCCTCGTCTTCTTTGTCGGTGCGGAGGTGGTGCTGGAAGAAGATGAGCACGGTGCGTTCCACATCAACACCACCCATCCACAGGAGCAGCACAAGCAGCAGCAGCCGGCGGCTGTGTTTGTGAATGGGGTGAACGTGGCGGAGATGTTTGAGCTGATACAAGAACAGCAGAGCATGTTGCGAGACCTGGATCGCGTGAACACGAACCAAGCACGGCAGCTGAGCTCCTTGGACCGCCAGCTGTGCGACATCACACCACCGACCGTGGACACCACAACCATCACGGGGCTCGGCACCACGTCAACATTCAAGTGGTCGGATGGCGTCTTGGCCACAAACGGCCTCATCTATTTCATTCCGTTCAGTGCTTCCTCCATCGTCATCCTTGACCCAAGCACCAACGGAGTGGATGACACGACAATGGGCGGCTTTCCAACTGACCACTGTGATGTTAAGTTGTGGTTTCATTCAAGTGCAATCCACACACCTCAAACCAATACAAAAGCGAAAAACAACAGTGGTACAAACAATCAAGAGGAGCAAGCAAGGCGAGTGATATTCAAGTTAAGGGACGAGGGGGCAACAGAACAAGCACTTGTTTGCTCGCTTGATCCGGAAGGAAGAACGTAGTGCAACATAGCACAAATGCGTGCTGCGGAATAAGAAGCATTGGTAACGGAGCAATATTGCGCTGGTGACACCAGAAGTGGGCTTCCTTGGTTACGAGTCCAGGGGCTGTGCATGTGCATGTGTGTTTGTCAGAGTGTGAAGAAAGGTGTCGCTGATACTGAAGAACCGCAAGGGAGCGCAAGTGTGGTATCAAAGCGAAACCCAGCTATCACACACGCACACACACAAACAAATGCTTACCTGTATCTTGACTTTGACACCGTTTGCGCTGCGGAGAACGATGGCGCTCTGGAGTACAGGCTCATGCTGGCGTGCGAATGAATCGGTGAATGTGCGTGCGTGTGTGTGTGTGTGTGTGTGTGTGTGTGTGTGTGTGTGTGTGTGTGTGTGTGTGTGCGTGTGTGCGTGTGTGTGTATGTGCGTGCGTGCGTGCGTGTGTGTGTGTGTGTGTGTGTGTGCGTGTGTGTGTATGTGTGTGTGCGACAGCAAGTGAGAATGGTGGAAAAGCCTAAACAGCTGCAAACAAGCACGCAAGCACGCCGTTAACACTTAGCCTCTTTCATATGCACACGTGTACTCACCCCTGCATCGACAAACTTGAACCTGCGAAGGAGCTGGCACATGGCGACGCGGATCTCGTGCGTGGCAAAGTTGTTGCCAATGCAGTTGCGGCGGCCGGTCGAAAACGGCATAAACGCAAACGCATCCACAGTCGTGTCCAGGAACCTTGACAAACGATCACACACGTGTGCGTGGGATATGCGCACGTGTTGAATGCACGGTGAGGGCGGTGCGAGGGTTGCGTGCGATGTCGAGCTGTCATGTCGCAAACGCGAAAGAACCAGGTATACCAGGGTTGGAAACATGTCTACATGTCATACACATACCAACAAACACACACACACATGCAAACACACAGACACACAGACACACACAAACAAACGAAGCGACAGTCGCAGCACTACAAATGAGTCTCGCACCGAGACACTTGGTTTCTATCTCTTGATTTATCTACCTATCGGTGCTCTCCGACCGCTTACACTCACCCACACGCCCACTCGCACACGCATTCGTCCGTACACACCGTTGCCCTTTTTGCCCCCCCCCCCCCAATTGCTCCCCCCTCCCCTAATCTCTGAGCGCTGGGAATGGTGGAAGATTTCAACGAGTGACCCCAATAAAGAGTACCACAACAAACACACACATGCATGTACACACATGCATGTACACACACACGCACACGCATGTACACACACACGCACACACACACACACACACGCATGTACACACACACATACACACACACGCACACACACACACACACACGCATGTACACACACACGCACATGCATGTACACACACACACACACACACACACACACACACACACACACACACACACACACACACACACACACCAATGTGTCAGCATCCCGGGTCGATGATGAGGATGTGGTCTGCGTCATGGGGAATACCATAAATAAGACCGTTGTCCGCGAGAACACCACCAAGCCACAGCGTGGGTTCGCTCTTTTCAGGCAAGGTGAGCTGCACCGTGGTGTTTGTGGCCGGGTCAATGATGAGCGCTGCCGATGAGTAACTCGGCACGCCAACGATACGGCCGTTGGGTGCAAGCACGGCGGTCACCAGCCCCGGTGTCGTGAGGCCGGTGATGGTGGTGGTGTCGGTTGCGTTTGTCTGCGGGTTGATGATGAGTACAGACGATGACGAGTAGTCCGGGATGGCGTAGACGAGGCCGCTGTCCACAAGCACCGTGCCATACCACTTGAACAGGCCCGTGCCAAACCCCGAGATGGTGGTGGTGTCTGTTGCATTGGTTGCCGGGTCGATGATGAGCACGCCATCTGCATGCCCTGGCGGACAGTAGATGAGGCCGTTTGCTGCCTGCACGCCGTCGAACCACTTGTTGTCCCCGCTGTCCAGTCCCGTGATCGTTGTAGCGTCAGCGACCATGGCAACGGGATCGATGACTAGCACGGAGGTTGCGGCACTGGGGACGCCGTAGATGAGCCCGTTATCTGCAAGCACACCGGATCGCCATTTGCCCTCGGTGCTGGGCAGGCCGGCCATGGTTGTGGTGTCCGTGGTGTTGGTGGCGGGATCGATGATCAGCACCGCGGTGGTGCTGTACGGGAGCCCGAATATAAGGCCACTGGGTGCCAAAACACCGCCGCTCCACGCAGCATCGCCGCCGCCGCCGCCGCCGCCGTCGTCAGACAGCCCGGAGATGGTTGTGGTGTCTGCGGTGTTCGTCCACGGATCGATGATCAGCACCGATCCCAAGCTGTAAGGGATGCCGTAGAGGAGCCCAGTCTGCGCACGCACGCCACCGGACCACTTGTTGTCCTTGCCCAAGTTGAGGCCCGTGATGGTGGTGGTATCAGCGGATGGCTCCCTGGGATCAAGCCGACACAATGTGCTGGACATGGCGTCGAGTTGCTGCGCTTGCTCTGCATTGATGCGCTGTTGCCGTTGGAGCGTGCGCTGCTGTTCCTGTGCAAGCAGGAGCATCTGCCCAAGATCAACCCCGTTCAAAAGCACGGGCTGCTCAAGCGAGCTTGTGTTGATGTGCAGCGCGCCGCCATCATCCTCTTCCATCACTACCTCTGCACGGACAACATCACAACGTTGTGCAACAAGCCCAAGCACCAGCACAAGCACACACCCACCAAGCCACATCTTGCTGCGATTGTGGAAGAGTGTTGGAAAATGTACATGATTTTCAGCACCACGATGGAGGCTGCTCACTCATGGTCGTAACTCCACCACCACCAACGCAGCGAAGGAGCAAACATAACGTTAACACCATACAACACCGACACCGCTGCCAGCCTTCCTCCCAAGCCAATCCCTATCTTGCTGTCCTATCGCAGTTTGCACGTGTGCAGGCACAATGTCTGCGGAGGGTGCCCAGCTTGGCCTGCACGAGTGGGTGTGCGTGGTGCAGCACCTAGTGTCGTCATCAACGTCGCCATCACCGGCAGCAGCAGCAGCAGCAGCAGCATCGTCATCGTCACTGCCGTCGGCAGCCCGCCCGCCTCGGGGACGGCGCGATCACCGCGACCAGAGCATCCCTTTTTCCCATGCGCTCCACGCCGATGAGCACAAGAAGGACGAGGCTGCGGTGGACGCCGCCGTGGGCGCCAGGGCCGTGTTCAACCTCATGCTCACGTGCCGCTCCCTGTACACAGACCTGCCGTGGCTCATGCCAAAGTGGTGCCTGGCCTCTGTCATGAGCCGCACCCACCTCTCCAACGAGTGGCTGGACACCTTTCAACTGAGTGAAGACGAAGGGGAGGATGACAGTGACGTGGATGAGGCAGGGAAGGATGAAAGCGAAGAAGACGGGGTGGCGATCGACGGCCAAGGCGTGAAGAAGGAGCCAAATCAGCACGAGCACGAAGAAGAACAGCAACAAGTTGAGAGTGACGAAGAAGCGCACCAAGATGGCGCAAAAGAAGAAGAAGAAGAAGAAGAAGAAAAGAAGAAGCTGCAGCAACAGCAAGGAAAGCGGCGTGCACGATCGCAGCAGCAGCAGCAGCAGCAGCAGCAGCAGCACAAGACAGCCCGCCCACAAGCACGGCAACACAGCAACCGTACGCGCATGCTAGGCAGCACACGCAAGACCAAGGGTAGGAAGAGCAAGGCGTGTGTGCAACACGACCAGGCTTTCAACATGGAAGCGTGGCTGGACGACAGGTTCCTGGTGTATTCGTGGCTGGGCATGACATGGAGCAGCAACTGCGAGTTTGCGAGGTCGCGCGCCCTTCATCCACCATCGCCAGCCTTTCGCAGGCGCTTTGCCAGTTGTGTGCGCATCAACTTCTGCAACTTCCGTGCCCTCAACAACTGGCAGCTTGCCCCCAAGCGTGCACATGAGTCAGCAGCAACAACAACAGCAACGGCAGCAGTGGAGAGGATGGTAACAAGGTGGACCCAGGGGTCAGAAGCAGAGACGCCGCAAGCAATCTTGAACCATGGCATTGTTGACGACAGTGGTGGTGATGATGGCGATGATGGTGATGATGATGATGACGGTGGTGGTGATGCCAACTCAACCACACCTCATTCATCATCGACATCGACAGCAGCAACGACAGCAACAGCAGCAACGACAGCGACAGTAACAGCAACAATAGCAGAAACAGCAGAAACAACAGCAGCAACAACAGCAACAACAACAGCAGCAGCACCAACAGCAGCACCAATGGCGACGGCACGAGACGAGCAGCCACTGCTTGCTCCGGCACTGATTTGCGTCTCAGCGAGTGTCAGAAGCCAAGACGAGGCTGCCAGGCTCATGGCTTTGGTGGAGGCGTTCCAATGCCACGGCACCATCCTCGCCTCC